CATAGCTCTGATGATTTTGTACTTTGTTGAAAGGGCTCTGTCTAACAATCTCCCTGGAGCTAATACAGCAAAAATACTGCAATCATGTCAACAGAAAACATTAGAGACGAGACTTCCATTCAGTAACAAGAAATCTCGATGAACTTCAACTCCGGGAATATAGTAATTAGATGCCTTAGCAAGATTAAGCAGATTTTCTGAAAATGGTTGATTACCTGTAAGACAAGAAGTGCAAGAAATAGGAGGAATCTGATAGAGCCAAATCCAGAGAAAGCCATTGCCGCTTTGTTCAGATATGAACACTTTGATGGTTGCCAATTGATTTAACCAGGCACTGATGATGCTCAGTGTGATGATGCTTTGTAGTTGGGCATTTACAAATTTGCAAATTTTGCATATGCCTCCTCCGAATTTGACCTTCCTTTATGGTTGAAAATTATGTAGGAAGAACTATATAATCAGTACCCTGCAGTGCTGGCTATTATTAATTAATGCAGTCAATTCACCGTATTTTTTGCCTTTTTGGGAGTCAGATGTATATCCTGTAGCAAATGGAAATTAAATGCTGAAATTCCTTTATGCTTCAAAGCTCTATTTTATACTACGTCACAAAGCCTTCTGAATTAAGTATGATTAAATTCTTAAGTTGATAAAACTCAATAACCAAGCACAAGTCTATGCAGTAGTGAGGCTATTTTGCTCTTATTGCAAACTTTTTTCTGGAGCTTTTATGAAAAAAACTGTACCATAGAAAAATGAGTTCATAAAAATGACAATCCAACTAAAAACCGTAGAAAAATGACATGTACAGTAGAAAAATGAGTTCATAAAAAACATCAACATTTTTTTGAAGAAAAATGACAATCCAAACAAGACTAATCAGCAAAAAAAATTGAATCCAACCAAGAACCTAAAGTACATAATGTATCTGTCAAAACAAAAAAAAAAAGTCCAAAATGCTGTACTATGTGTAATTTTTTTTCTTTTGTCAATTATTATCATCTATACCTACTATTACTCTAATCTATTTTAAAAGGTGACCCAACAGAGTCACGAAAAATTGACGGGAACTGAATCACTATCAGATGGATACAAGAGAAGCCACTTTAAGTGGCAACGGGAAGTGAAAAAAAAACTCCAAAATGCTGTACTGTTTGTGAATAGATGATAATTATGTCTCACATAGTCACTGTACCAATAGTCACCCACACCATTTCAAGAGGTGGAATCAACTGAGCTGTTGCCAATCTCATGCACATGCAGCCAAATAAAATGCAGGTCTGACTTTGGCTTCAAGCCTATAAAATGGGATCCATGTTGGGAAAAGTTAGAAATGGATCTATCCTGAAACCCCAATTTTAGTGAATGATGAGAGAGGACGTCTCTATGATACTGAGGAGGTCAACTTCCTGCTGAGGAAGGTATCAAGTGCTGCTTTTGACTATTGTTGAATGGACTGAAATTAAATAAATGTTGGTCATTCAAAATCTACGCAACAAATTTGAATATATATGTAGCAGTTTTCGTGGATGAGACCAAACAAGCCGCCACATCATTGTGTTTTGTGAAGTCATTTGTTTGCTCAGTGACCATATATCATCATCATTTTTGAGTGTGATCAGAATCAAGACTCGTAGTCTTACCTCTTTCTCTCTACTTTTCAGCTAAGCATATCTGTGGTAATTAAGTTCCCAAATTCAACAATAATTCTCTATCTAGAAGGACGGCTAACAAATTCTTTGGTAAATTTTTTTTTTTCACGAAAGGTCCAAATTAAAGTTTCAACTGTTGTATATGCATTGCACTATGCAACGTTATGGTTCTTAACATGATTTTCAATGTGTGCTACGGTGTTCTTTCTATAGCAAAATTAAAACGCATTAGGTGTACATAGTTATAATCTCTCTCTTTTTTTTTTTTTTTAAAATAACAATGAATAAGAACATGCAAATTCATTAAAAACTTGTAAGAAACTTGAAAAATCTGACTAAATGTTACGGGAAAATCGTTGAAACATTTCTTACATTTCGTTAAATGAATTTTTTCGTCACTCACTTTTATAATGTTAACTTTACATTCCTTATAAATTCAAATTAATAACATTTGATCCCTACCCAAATTTCTGACTACTTTTTAGTCTAAAATCACCACGTGATACACATGCAGTTATTTTTTAAATACAAAAAGTGAATATGGATCAAGTTATTTGTTAACTACAAATGAGATCTAACTATTTTACTCCATAAAAAAAAAAGACTACGTGTGAATCACGTGATGGATTTAAAATAAAAAAGGGTAAAAATTTAGGTTGAGATCAAATTTTATCAAATTCATTTTATAAGGGACATAAATTTACTATTTTAAAAGTGAAGGATGACAAATATGTTTTAAAAAATGTGAGAGATTTTTTTAACTATTTTTTTATATAGTAACTTGTATAGTGCAATAATAATAATAATAATAATAACCATTTGTAGATTGGAAGTACACTGCCGTATGGATGTCACTCATTGACCTTTGTAAAGGGCCTTTCTTTATCTTTTGTTTTGCTACTGCTCTGCCTCTAACGTGATTCATGTTCCATCTCATCATGTTTTTGAGTCATTTCAGAGAAACGTACTGTTTATTTAGCTAGCTTTCTTTTTATTACTGTATTTACTATTTAAACTTCTAAATTAACACGTCTTATTAATTAATAAGGGTATCAATTCAACTTTTTTAGCCGTTCTAGAGAAAAAATATATATATATATATATCAAGAAAGTCATTTGTGTCGGCAGTGTTCTGCCTAGATTCTGTCCAGGACGTCCAAAAATTTCTTCACTACTCATGCCGATTTTGAATCTATCCTGCTCTGGAGGCAGCAAATTTTCTTTCAAGGAGACAAACAAGAATTTTTGGTATCATTTAGTATTTGTTTACTACCCATTTGCGCTAAAGAATTCCAGAAACATGTGGTTTCTGCAATACAAAAGCTAATAAGAAATTATTGATGATACTGACAATATAAATCTACGAGGTCGGCAGCACATCCAGATACCCTGCATCTGCATGGTTTGCCTGTTTGATTAAAAGAGATCAAGTACGCTGTTTGATGGGTTGACCACAAATTTTTTGTCATGAACAGGAAATGGATGCACTCCATCAGGGCTCAATTTTAGTGCCCTATTTCTTTCTTTCACCTTTTTGGTTGATCATACACCAGGATGCAGACAAGGACTCACCATTAACCAACTCTTTCAGCTCCTTCTGAAAAAGATTGCATAATATTGAATTATTGTATGGTTGAATCAGGTAGCACATACTACTGTTCCAAGTTCCAACTCTGAAGTTGCAACACTTGCTCCACCTTTGACTTTAAGTGATGCACAACCTCATGCAGAGTTCAGCTTGCATGTGTTCTTTTTTTTTTTTTTTTTTTTTTTTTTTATATGGATGAGTTGCATTTTGCACCTCCGACTTTACGTCATTCTCATTTTGCATTCTAAATTCAATATTAGACGCTTTACGCTCTAACATTTCGTATTTATTTCACTCAAATCCTATCCATACAAAATTAGGAAAACTAATGGAATAAAGGACTATGCACAGCTACTTTACTAGATGGTAGTGGATTACCTTCATTTTGGAATCATTATCGGCCATGCAAAAAAAAAAAAAATTGCATGGGGTGCACGATCATCTATTTTTTTCATTTTTGCCAACACTGTTATGAATTGGAGTTTAGTGGGATAAATGTGAGAGATTATGGCGTACAGTGTCCAAAGTTTGACGCATAAAATGAGAGCCGGGTACAAGTTCAGGGGTGCAAAGTAAGATTATTCTAAATTTTTATTGGTAGAGTTTTTCAGTCGGCGGTTTCATTGGTAGAGTTTTTTTTTCCCCCAAGAGAAAGAAACTCACACACACAATTATGTTAGAAACACTCAGAAAGTCAATGGCTAAACGATCCATGAAGAGCAATCTAAGAAGGACCTACAAGAAATCCACATCCAGCCAGTTGATAACAGGAGAGGGCTCCTATGGACCTTAAACCTAAGTTAAAGAACCCACATCTAACCGATGTAGGAGGGATGCCCTCCCCCCCTCCGAGCACACCCTCACCAGTGAATGGTTAACCAATTGGTAGAGTTTTTCAGTCGGCAGTTTTGTTGGTAGAGTTTTTCAGTCGGCAGTTATTCTTGAGTGATGGGCCAATTATACGTCAGTCATCAGTTCATGTTTTTCTGTACATAGTTATCTCAGTTCTGGGATTTTGATCATATGCAAAAGAAAAATCATATGAAGCAGTTCATGCTAAAAGCAGTACCTTAAAGTCTGTGTTTGGTTCTTTGTAGCAGTTGGAATTACAAATGTCTTCTAGAAAGGTTGCATTACGTTTTCATGGAGTTGCATCAAACCAATTTCACTTCTAATCTATGAACCAAAAACAGCCAAACTCTTAAAATATGAGCCAAGCGGTCTCCTTGTTTATTCAGCATCAAGAAGAAGAAGAACCTATCAGAAATGATAGTATCAAGCACGTAAAATCAAATCCCAAAGAAAAAAAAAATGGTCCTTGATGCTTGATTGATTACCAAACTATGATTAAATAATCCATAGCCCATTTGCATCGGTTATCATCAACTTGATTTTTATGAATTTACGATTGGTACAAGGTATAATCAGACAGGCAAGTACGTGTTCCTTCTATGATATAGGACGTGTTTTTCCATAGCCATCTGAGATTCTCAATGCAAAATCAGGAGATACATTGGTCAAACAAACTCATTGGTCAAATAAACCTCTTATCCAAATATTCTTCATGTTTGGGTTGGCAATGAATACAGATGGTTGATTCACACAATTTGATAATGTGCATAACCGACCGTCAGATTACTGCCCAGGACAAAAAGCAACACATATATTAGTCAACTATTCTTTCTTCCTAAATGTCAACTATACCTTTATGGGTCAAATAAACCTTTTATAAATACTATGTCAGAGGTTGCACAATCCCATTGAAGTTGTACAACATTAATAGCAAGTTGCCCTTCAATACAGTTGCAGACATGAGACCTTACTCAGCCTTCTTGGTTCTCTTCCTCCTTGTTTCGGTAATTCTTCTGATTTCTAATCTGCCTGATTGTTCCCTAGTTGTATTCAGCTGGAAAGTTGGCACTTCTTTCCCCACCCCACAAACATAGAGTACATATACAATATTTTGTTAATTCGTATGAATTAACTTTTGTAACTTAGATTATGTTATTTTGCTGCAATTTGTATTACTAATATCTCTTGTTTTGAAATCAGTTCACTTTCGGGATTGATGCAAGAAGATGTCCAGGAGATTATTGGAAGAGTGTCATGAATGAAGAACCGATCCCTGAAGTACTTTCAGATATTTTGCACCAAGACACTACCTCAGAACCATGTGAGAAGGAAACTGTGGACACAGACCGTTTGGCCAGAGATTTTGACATGAGGTCTAGTGTGATAATTTATCACAGGGATGCTGATTCCAAAAGAGTGAAGACATTTGATGCTGAAGGTGTGAAAATGAGGGATAATATTGATAGTGCACAATCTGAGTCAAGACAAAAAGTTCTAAGAGCAGAATAATGCATAAAGACTAGATCAAGAAGATTTTCTGCACTAGCCGTAGTTACTGTATTTTATATTTAGAACATAGATAGTTTAAGATCACTTTAGACCTATGTTTAAGATCAGTGTTGATCTTGCTATCTTTGGTGGTATACACAGACAAATCTATCTACAGTTGTATTTGCTCATATTTTTTCTTGTACTCGATTAAGTGCCGAGAATGGTCCTTGGGGATGATATTGATGTTCTCAAAGTGTCCTATGGATCAACACTTATCAATGTCAAGTCATCAACCCACAGTAGGCTGTCTGGATGTGAGTTTCTGGAATTAATATGGATTAAAGTGATTCGTATAAAATATAACTTTTAAAAGTGTTTTCACAGCATCAGTCAATAACAGTTGTTTTGCTTCAACAAAAACATGGCCGATCAAATTCTTGGATATTTAACAAATAGAACTGCACCTCAAACACCCTCTTAGTATGATCTAAAGGGTAATAAACTGTCAGTGGTACTTTGACACTGGAGATGCCGTTTTTGGCATTTGTTTCCTACACTAATATTTATGATTGGTATTTAAACCAATATTTGTTCCAAAATTAACTGGAATACACAGGATATCAACCTGCCAAGAAGTGTTTTTAGATTTAGCAACATTCCTATAAGTTCAATTAACCAAATTGAAATCCAAATAAACAGGGTATTAGAATAAAAGTAAGGGGCCATTGCTGGCATTCGCCCTTTCACTGCCATTTTGCAGCATGCTTGACAGGCCTCAAACTTGAGCCAGCCACGAAATTTGCCTACAATAAGTGCGCAAAATAGCCCAATGATGAAGCTCAAAATGTGGTTGGAAATATAAGGTATCTTGAGAAGAAAGAAGTTTTTAATGGAGACTGTCTTACTTTTCTGATGCACATTAGACAGTTCAATCAGAAATCGTTAAGCGACCGATGTTGTGCACAAGCAATGACTTTTAGGCCTTATGAGTTGGTTGGTGACAAATCTGCCAAAGTATTCCTTTTCAACAATACTTTTAGGCCTTATCTTTTGATGGTGGGATCGTCCACCTTAGTCAATTTAATGAAATTCATTACTCGTAAGTGATTGCTATGATAATTGTTAGGAACGTAGAGAAATGGGGGGTTGGACTTCTGGATTGATGTTACCTGGTTCTTTCCTTAAAGTTTTGAGTATATCCACTGTATCTGATTCTACTGGTTAGTGTTGTCTTGGTGACTAAGTGCTTCCCTTGGTGGTGGTCTTTTCATCCCTATGTCAAGATATTGCTTATTTGTCTTCATCGGACAAGTCTTTTTGACCTCCTCTTAGTCTCCGTTTTGGACCTGCAACAATTGTGGCTTTTTACCAAGATTCATTCCTTTTGCCTGATATCTATGGCAAATCAATGTCATACACGGAATTCCCTTGTTCAATTCACTGCATGAATAACTTATAATGGGCATAACTGCCGATTATGTGACCTTCATTGCATCTCCACAAATGTTTCTGTGATTGGAAATTCTGCTGAAACCAGATCACGTACTAATGTTAGGTCTACAACCAAAATGCTCCTTTTCTATTTCTCTGCTTCAGGAATTTTTAATCTTAAATAGACTAACACATAAAACGTATACAAGGTTCATCTCTTTCATCCCCTGGCTAAATGATAATTTTGACTTATTTAAGGTTCAGATTCAAAGGTGTGAAACGAAAACAAAAATTTATCAGTTAAATTATGTCTATACATCTGAATAATGATATTGTCATCAGAACCAAACTACCAAACAAACACCAGCCCTGTACACTAAGGTACCCCTTTGTAAGTAAAAGAAAAGAAGTTTAACAGTTTCTTATGTAGTATATGCTTTTGTACTCCAAAACCATTTCCCAGAACTAAAAGAAGCAAATTCCAGGGAATGAGATCTCCGCGAAGTCTTCATAACTCCATGACCTCTGAAGTCTTCTTAAATGTTAAGTAGCCACAAGATCACACAGACCGACAAGATCTTTGATGCTTCATCAGTGGCATGATCTTTTTCCCTTATGGTAAGAATTGAATGGTCGCTTTCCCAAGGCTTACAAACAGCATTCTTCAGCCAGCTCATGAAAAATCAGTGGATGAGCTTTTTAAATAAGCTTTTCAGCTCTCTGGAAATTGGAATGACAAAAAAAAAATCAATGGATATATGACAGAAATCAAAAAGAATTCTCAAAGCACTGCTGGTAGGACTTAAATTTTCGATTGTAGTTAGGAATCAGTAGGCTTGTGATAAAAACCGTTAATGACATACATGCCTAAAATCTGTTATACTCCACAAACAGCATACACTCACACAAAAGCACCATACACAACCCTAATTAAGATTTTTTTGCCCTTCCCATTTCTGTTTAGTCCGTGCCTTTATTACATATATATATATAGCATAGCATAATCTCTTTTGATCATCTGAAACCACAAACGAATGAACCAATCTGAAGGTGTGACAGATGATGGCATCGCAGAAACGGGAAGGGCCTAAGAAGAAGTGGTATAGTTTCGCCTGATATACACATTATCTCAAGTTAATATAGGCTCCCATAGAACCAGATACTCTAACAAACTTACAATTAACTAAAAATTTCCATCACAAGAACTTTAACACACTTGTCCCAGAATATGGTTGAAGATGACGTTTGGAGTAACAACTCATATTAGGCCAACTGGGAAAACAAATACATGCAAACTAAATCTTTAGAATTGATGGTTTGATATGGTGGTGCATGCTGTGGAAGAAACCTAAAGACCTGAAATCCGCTCAGTATAAGCATCTTTTGATTATATTTCTAAATGCCTCCAAATGCAAAAAGTGATAATACAAAGCAACAAGAAATGGATGATTTAAAAGAGTTAAGAAAAAAAAATAAAGTGCTGACTTACTGATTTTAGTGTCAGTAAAAGTGCAAAGCTTTCCACCAGCCTAATCCAATCAATCCCCACGTTATAAGGTTGATGAGAGCCATGACTATACCCAGCTTAAAAACATCATTGAGTCTGACATAACCAGCTGTCAAACGAAAGAAAACAAATTTAAGATCCTAAGGTTGTCATGTTGAATGAGGAAAATCAGAAGAGAGAGAGAGAGAGAGAGTGGAAAGAGGAAAGAGATTACTAGGTCCTGAATCTCAAAAACAATAAGAATCTAGGAATAGTAATTGGATTAACCAGAAGAATAATTCAAGAAGCCAACGCATAATCATGAAGTGATACTTTTATAACATAGAAAACCAACTGAAAAAAAAAAGGGAGGAAAATTTGTAATCCCATTTTGATTCTGGAATTCTGATACAAGCAGGAGAAAAGTTGCTTGAAATATTACTAACTTCACACAAGACTAGGCTCAAAATGTATGTTTGCTTACATGTACTTCGACCACTAACCTTTTCATATTCGCAAGGCTTGCATAATCCTTACGTCTAACCAAGATTGTACTACTTCTTACATAATTCTATTCAGTCCATCTTCCACTGTAGAATAGATATTCAGGAGAACAGGGTGATTTTTGTGCATGTTGTAAAGATAATAGAAAGATTACCTCCATAATAGACAGCAGACTGACCACTGCTATAGTGTGTCAATGCACCAAAAAGGTTTGTGTTGTATGCCAGGGCCATAGCAGCTAACTGACCTGGAACTTTAGATGCCAAATGCATTTCAAGAAATGCAGAGTATAAAGCTGCAACATGGGCAGTTTGACTTGCAAATAGATAGTGGACAAAGAAATATGCCAATTGGAGGATAAAAAATGATCCAAACCAGCCTATTGACTGGGATTTAAGAAAATGCGCTACACGACCGGACACCCATTGTATAACACCAAGAGCAGTTAATTGGCCTGCCATGCCTACCAGAACCCCAAACCAAGCCAAGGTATCCCATGCTGACTTTTCACTCAGGCAGTCATTCCAATCAAGCACCCCCAACAGCAGAAGTAATGACAAACCTAGCAATGCCGCTATGACACTTGATATGTTAAGAGCCGTTCTGCACAATCAATAAGAAGATGGATTAGCCAGTCAAAAAGGTACAGTGTAAAGAGATGACAAGATAGCTACAAGTGTTGTTGTGCTGCTATTCAGAACTGTTAAAAACCAAAGAGAGAGATAACCAAGAAAGGGCTAATTGCAAATTTGGAATATATAATTGGATTAAACTGAGTAGAGGTGAATATGTAACAGAGAAAATACTAAGAGGATAACCAAAAGTACAGATAGTTCAATGCTTCTTTGTGAATAGATATAAAATGATACAACTAGATTCAGAAAAATTGAAGCAGAAATAGTCCTGCAGATTTGTCAGATTAAGGAAACCAGCTTTAGAACAGTAGCTTTGTGATTACAAGTTGTGATACCTTGGAGTTCCCAAGGGCTCTTACAAATTGAACCTCTTCCACCAACTCATAGTAACACCAAATCAAAATTTGTTCTTTGACAAAAAGGGACCATGACTTTTTTTGGGCCACTATTTTTCAAGATGATAATTTGTCACAGAAACGTTGAAAACTGTAATCAATGTTACCCAACAGGAATATATGTAGCTGTTGTGTTGTAGCACTAATCACGGAGGCATCCTGTTGCAACATTTATTTGATATAATCCGAGATTTGAGCAATCTAATCAATTCAAGCATGATGTTCTATTTAATCAGAAGGGAAAAATATGAAAGCGATTAACTTAAGTTGGCAATCAAATAGACAAACCTAACTGTAGTGGGAAAAAATCTGCACATAAAAAGTAAAAGAACAAGTAAAATTTTCAGGTAGGCAATAGTGTATTCCTACGTACCCAGAGATCCAAAGTGCAACAGTTATAAGCATGGTTGCAATCATAAACCATTCTTCCCTCTTCAAAGGACCCATCTGAGCCAATTTCTGCTTAGCTACGACAGCAGCATCAGGTGTACGTTTTATTTTAGGAGGAAACATCTTGTATACTAGGACTGGAGTAACTAATAGATTGACAATTGCAGGTACGCAGGACCCCTTAAGCCAGGTAACCCATCCATTTGAAATTTCAACCACAAGAGCTTCAGCTAATTTGAAACACAACATGTTTTGAGCTGCAGCAGTCAGGAAAAGGGCACTTGAGCTGCTTGAAGACTGTCATTCATCAAGAAGAATAAATTATTAAATCCCAAAAAAAAAAAATATTGGCAATGCAACGGCAACATTGTTTAGTCAAGGTCATGGATGCATATGGGACCATCTAGTGGTCAACTAGATTTCAAAAACCAGGTCAACTGACGTCATCTTCAAAACCAATAATTCAATACAAACAAAAGAGCAAGAATCTTCCCTCATTGCAGATATGACAAATTTTCATGTGTTGCTCTGATTTCATGGTT